CATAGGAGAAGCAGGGAACCGCTGCCATAACTGCTCCATCGCTGCCAGCGAGGGATGGGACGGGGCCCTGACATGGGTTCACTGTGCAAGCACTGAATAAAATCTCTTATTTTTCACTTTTAAAGCCATTGGGGCTGTCCTTGAGTGCCCCTTTTGAGCAGAGGTGCCCAGCAGCTCCTCGTCCAGTGCCATGGGTCCATCGCTGGGGCCGGTGTTTGCCACCCCAAAGCTGCATAGGCCAAGGCTGGAGCACAAGGACTCCAATGTGGAGAGAGGGGAAAGGGGTGCAGGAGGAGGGTGTTCGTCCCATGACTGGAATGGGGTCTGGGGGCTGCTGGGGACCAGCACATCCCGCTCCAGAGCACAGCCCTCCTGCTTCCTCCCCCCAAATGCCATAGGAAACACCAGAAAAGCCAGGACAGAGCCAGCAATGGCTCCGTGACCACAGATGGGGGGTCAAGGGCTGTGGCAGCTGAGGGTCCCCACAGCCACTGCAGCCCTGGGACATGGGGGCTCTGCAGCAAAGGGGACCCAGGATGGGGATGGGGTCTCTGCGGCAAAGGGGTCCAGGGATGGGGTCTCTCCTCCTCCTACCACACCAATTATGTTCCATAACGATCTCTGTGCCAGGACAACACACGAGGCAGACGCAGGCAGAGCACAACCGGGTATCCTGCATTAATTCACACTTCAGCCTCCGCTCCCTGGCCATCCTGCATTAATTCACACTTCAGCCTCTGCTCCCTGGCCAGCACACAGAACACCTCAAAAACCGTATCTGAGGACCGCAGCAGAGCCGATGACCGTCATCTGCTGCGGCAATTACAGTGGCAGATGTCCCATCATCTCCCTGGACTCCATTGCAGAAAACGGGCGGTTTGGCGGCGAGATCGAGGGGACACCGAGGGGACGTTGCCAGCGCTGCCGCTCTCCCCGGTGACCCCGTATCATCCCCCTGTATCATCCCCCTTCCCATCACTACCTTCACGGGGTGTTCACAGCCGACAGAAGCTGGGAGGGCACTGGTCCCCATTAAACCTCTTGCTACGCGGTGCTGTGCCAAGCCCCTGCTGAAGTACAAATAAAGGAACCGTTTTCTGCCGTGCAGCCTCTGCCACGATCCCTGCAAGGGGAAGGAGGGAAAGGCTGCAGCAGCTCACCAAGGCATTTACGCTGTAATTCACACCCGTTCCCTTTCAATCCGCTTTGCCAAGACCTTGCTTTTCACAATATAATCCCCTAAAGCTGCTTATTTGCCTCCTGGATGTGAGAAGCCGTGAGCCGGGCACATCCCCACACTCACTGATGGGCACAGGATCCCCTGCTTGCCCTGGACCTGTGGCAGCCACAAAACCCCAATGCACAGCCGTGTAAAGCCCCAAACCTGGACCCTTCCTCTCCCCATCAGGTGCTGGAACCTTTTAATCCTCCTGCTCTGTAACCACTGATCCAAACTTCCCTTCCGTTTTACCTGGCTATGGAGACAGAATTCACTTTCCAGGATGGCACAGAAACAGCACCACTGCCAAATCCCTCACCTTGGTGCTGCAGCAACGCCGACCCTCCAAGGCTCCCAAAGATTCCTGGCTCTGGCTCATTCTCCTTGCCTCTTTACCCCAAAATCTCCAAAATACAAGGAGCCCTAGGACACTTGGCTGGGACAAACCCCAGCAGATTCACCAGGAATAGGCAGCTGATGCCGGCGGTGCCTCCCTAAAAGAGGAATCACCAGCAAACGTACCAGTGTCACAGCACTAACAGACCACAGGAGCATCTATGGCGACGTCTCATCCACACATTTTACAAGGCGGTTGCTGTTTCAGAAGGCACGAGGTGCGTTTGACACCTTTTCTATCTCACCTTCAAGGCAAACGGCCATCGAGTTCAGTGGTGCAGGATGCTGGATATCCCATACCTGAACATAGTTCACCTTAAAACCCTCCGGTTCCTACAAACAGCATTTGCTGGCAGGAACCGCTCAGCCTGCCCCGCTCACACCACTGCGAGCCTTTTAGGAAAGCAGCACTACATACAGGCTCTGCAATGGCAGACAATGGGCATAAACACACAAGCAGATTCACAGACCCTCTCCACAGCACATGAAGCAGTGTGTTGGCCCAAAGAGACTGCAGTGGGTAACTGGAGAGCCCCAATCCCCCTAAACATCCTGGGAGCAATGGTCCCCAGGACGCACAGCCCCTGCACGGGCAGCATCACCCGGCTGGTGATCAGGCCTGGCTTTGCTGCCGTGGGTTGTGTGTACCTGTAATTACATCCGTGTCCTCCGCAGAACCGAAATCAATTGAGTCGAGCGGGCGGCAAAGCAGAGGGCAGCACGGGGCAGCTGTGGTTCGGGTGGTTCACCACGAGCTGTGGATCCGTTCAGCTCCTGAAGTGCAGAAAGCGTTAACTGTGCACAGGCAAACGATAACAGCATCTGCACACCCCAACGCCAGCGTCCTCAGCACCACCCTCCTCTGGTTTTAGGAGCCAACCACCCCAGACCGCCCCGCTGCGCTGGGAGAAACGAGTGAAGCCAGCACTGTTCAACGACACCCGCTTTATTCAAAAATAGAGATCTATGAGACGTTCCAGAATATACTGCTGTCGCGAGCAGCAGCCTATGTGTCTAAGGTAGTTCCTAAATCGAGTCATGTACAGGTTTAAGCCTTTGTTAAAAAAAAAGACACCTTGGGGAAACCGGTTTAACCTCGAGAGGCTGTCGCCCAGTTCACCAGATGCCCTTTGCCCAGAAAGTAAAACAAATAAAATTAAAAACCACGAGACTTCATTTAAATTAAGCAAAATAAAACACACACATATATTTGGGGGGGGAGAAAAAAAAAAAGAAAGAAATCAAAACATTTCAATTAATAATAAAAAAGAGACATACAACTCTCGCACAGAAGATCTGCCCAGGACAACGGTGTGAGATGCCAACACATCCATCTCTTGTGACAGCTTTTTTGTTCTACCATGGGTGCACATTCAGTCAATGGTCAAAACAATTCCTGGTTAGAAGGGTCCAGGGTAACCAGGAGCTGAGACGGGACAGAAATGAGTCTGTTGGGTTGGACTGGGGAGCTCTGGGGGGTTTGGGTTCTGTTTTTGACAGAAGCAGAGGGGTGCAGCGCTTGGTCTGCACAGCTTGGACCAGGAGTGGGTGCACGGAGCAGCGCTGCCATGGGGGCACTGCCTGTAATGAGAAAACCTTTCCTGGCTGGGCTGCAGGGGTGTGAGGAGCTTCAGAAAGGACCAGATGAAGTATCGGTCAGAAAAGGATGTGAGCTTAACTTCGTGACCAAAAAATGCTGTGGTATTTGACCGCGGAACAGGCACTGCACACCCTGTAAAACGCAGGGGTGAGGACGCCGAAGGAGCGCTGCGTTTCTGTGGGGCTCCTCTCGCGTCTGACAGCTCAGGGCTGCAGGAGGCACAAACTCAGCCTTCAACCCACCCACCTCTGCCTCACGAACCCTGCAGCCAGACCAGGCGTTTCCACAGCTTCCACCCTGCGCAGCAAGAGGGGCTCCACCGCAGCAGAACTGGTACCAAACTGGAATGGATTTCAGCGATCAGAGTCCAGCTTGTTCGAGCTAACACACAAACTGAAGCGTAACTACGCCCACGGCAGCTACGTTAGCTAGCAACACAATGGAATTAGGAGTACTTCAGATCTAAATGCTGCTTTTTTTAAACCTGTCCCGATCACAAAAAATCAACTCACAATCATGTGTGACACAAAATTAAGTATATCCTTCTAATCCCTACGTGCATGGACACGTGCATACAGGATATGTGCATATACATAGGTCTATTTTCTAGATAGGGAAATATTCATACCACATTTCACTTCTGTTCATCAAATCGCTTCACTACAGCTATGGAGAGAACACACAGAGCAGGATCTGCGGTGTAACCATGCCCAGAGCGGGTCAGGCAGCGCCCATCACTGGGACATCACCAGCTGCACCACTGCAGCCTCTCGGTTCGTTAAGCCACAGCTGCTGCCACCACCTCACTCTGCCTAACGAAGAGGAGAAATGTGGTACAAACCTAAGGTAGCTAGGACAAAACCGACTTCCGCGCTCCTTTAGGTAACACCCAGTTCTGCACTGCTCAGCAGAGTGAATGACGGCGCTGTCCCTAATGCAGAGAAAAGCTGCATGGTTCCATTGCCCGTGGCGAGCTTCAATTGGGGTATGGGGAAAGCAGGACCCCCGCGGGGCACTGAGGGCTTGGGAACGCTCCTCTGCACCACCGCTCAGGCTACGGCACGGCAATGCCTGCACACACATCACCCACGAGCCACGCTCCTGCTCCGAGATGGGGCTCAGAAACCCAACCAAGCCAGACAAGACTCACTGCGAAATAACACGGCGTTTGTACAGAGAAGAGCGTTACGCGGCCGACCTTTCTTGGATAGCCTTCCAGGTACGTATGTACATGATTCTCATGACTTCTGTGGGGGTAACAAGTGCTAAGAGCAAACAGCAACTAAAGAGTATGGAAAAATATGAGCAAAGTTTGCCTACAGGGACTGTCCCCACTCCCGTTAGGGCTCACGGTGCTCTCCATCCTCCCTCGGCGTGAGCCCGCGGACGCAGAGAGGGTGAGCGCGAGAGGCCGGGAGGTCGCAGCAGCGCCTGCGCGTCCCCTCCTGCCGCAGGTGACGGAAGACTGATTTCCAGTCAACACCAGCGTCCTCCCACTCGTGCTGGTACCAGTGGAACGGGGACAGCGCCAGTCCTAGTCTGTGGAGAACAGGTCCCCAGCGGACGGCAGAGGTGCCAGACCCCCCGTCACGTTGGGCAGCAGCGACAGGTCGGGAAGGCTCTGGATGTGGGATTTCAGCTCCTTGCGCACCTGGGTTACCCGAGCAAGCTTCTGTTTGTACTCCTGCGGGAGAGACAAGAGAACCAGGGTTAAGCACGGGTTCAGAGCAGTGCTTCAGCAGAGCTGGCAGTTCTCTGGGTGAGGTCCTGGCTCTGAGCAGCTCCTGGCACCATTGCACACCCCACTGTCTGCACCCAAACCCGCAGCCTGGCCGTGGGCATCCCAAAGCCACTGATCCTGCCCCGTGCTACTTGGAGAGAAGCCATGGTAACCCCAGGCCTGCACCCCTGGTCAATGCAAGCTCCAGCAATATTCAGATAATTCGCTTTTCCCTTTCAAATGTTAAATCAGAACCAAGTTTTGGTGGTGAAACAGGGTCTCCTGTGTGGGTTGCTGGAAAACACCACAGAAACGTGTGTATGATCGCTAAACGTACACCAGAGAAAGCACATTCACGCTGCACTGAAACCAAGCAAAACAGACACTAAAACGTACAGGTTTATTGCAAAAGGAGAAAAACAGCAAGTGAAAAGTCCCTGGAGAAGAAACTTGCAAGGAGATTTTCCACGACTGAGTCCTGGGTTGAGCACTAAAGCCCAGCAAGAAACAGCTACCCATCGTCAGAAACCTCCCCAGCCTACGGGGCACGGATACCAGAGACAAAGGGACACGGATGTCAGCGATGGGAGTTCATGAGGAGACAGAGGAAGGTCCTGAAAATGGAAGAACACTTGGTTCAGTTATGTTTAGAGGCCGCTGAAGGGCAGAGCAGCACACAGCCAAGCTCTCCAACCGCTTGGATGTCCCTAGCAACAAGCAGTGCTATTAAAAGTTTGTATTTATAAGATTTTCAAAGCTTTGTGGTCCCAAACGTTCCTGCAGCACAGAGACAGCCACTGAAGCACTAAACCCAGTATGGCACCGTTTCTTTGGAAGGTCCTCACCCAACGACCTTGGCACTTCTGCCGTGGCACCTCCAGAATGCAGGAAACAACGCGTTTAACATCACCCACAGAACAGGCCTCCGCGCAGCCAGCTGCAGTATTAACTTCTCATGTCTTAATTACTTGGCAAAACGAACGGTTTACCAGAGAGCAGAGGCTTATCTTTGAAGACCAAACAAAACGAGGCCCACATTTAATCACAGCATCTTTCTGAAGAGTTTACAGCTTTAAAACTTTCCAACCTTCTCAGCAACAAACGTTCTCCTCGGCTCCTCCAAAAATCAAAGCAGAGCCGTTTCTGCAGGGTTACAGCGGTGAGTTTACTCCGTGTTTCACTGCTTTGGATTAGAACAGCGAGAGCAGCAGCTGATCGCAGCAGCTCCCAACACCCCTGCGCCTGAACAGCTATAGGAATATACCCCATACATTTCCTGCCAGCACCGAATATGAACGTCCTTAATGGCCTTTTTAAAGCATAAATCCTTTCACGAGGCCGAGTGAGTTAACACAGCATCAGCACCAAACACTTGTGTTAATGTATGCACTGCAATCATCAGGTTCAAACAGAGCTCTGCCAGCTCCATAAAGCACAGCACTGCTCACCAGCCTAGAGGAGGGCAACAAGGAGTCAGGAGAAGGCTGACGCTGGTTCAGGATCGTGAGGATTTGACTGGTTTTAACGGAAGACAAAGAATCAGCACGGAAATAAGAGCGCAGCCTCCATCCCCAGCCATGCCATTCTGGGAAACACTTAAACGGGGACACGGCGAAAAACTCTGGCTCAGAAAACCACGGCTGAAGTGAGGAATGGAAACGATGCTGAGGGAGCAAATCCAGCGAGCGGGATTTCCTAGAAGAGATGAACACTCGCTGGACGGATCTGACACAGCGCGGTGCAGAACTGTCTGGGCAGGGTTAACACTCCCCATCTGCTGGCAAAGGCAGGATGTGTGAGCAGCTTCCATGGGAAGTCACGGTTTTCAGGTAGCCCAGGACGTGCTTTGAAGCTGCATTTTTGCACAAGGTCCCTCCGTTCTGTGAAACTGGAAAAATATGAAGCACACTTAAAAGAAACGGCTGCGCTCCGAGGTCTCGGTGTGGGCTCCGTGTGCCTCGCTAATTGCCTCGCTGCATAGTAGGCCTTCATTAAGATTGATGGTATTTGGATGCTGTTTGCTTGCTTCAGACGAAGTAATGAGGTCTGTGCTGTAAGCAGCGTTTCAGGACGATACAGAAAGAGCTGGCGCTGCGCCGCACCAATGTTCTTGCTGACCAAAAACGTCCCCTTTCAGCACACGGCATCCTCCATCCACAGCCAAGTGAGTTACACCCTGTCCTCGAAATGAACACAGAACTGGGACTAAACACCGCCGAACCAACGCGACAGAGGTGGTTCATCCCAAAAAACCCTGCCGGAACGTGACAGAAGCGACGGTCATCGACGCGACAGGCAGCTCATTCCGAGCTTGGCTCACCTGTGAGTTACACAGCACAGTTTCACTGTGGCTCACACTGCTCTGGACACTTCCATCGCTGCGCCGGGTCAAGCCGTGACATGCTGGACGCATTCACACGCGGGGAGGACAGTCCAACATTTTGAAGCACGGATGGTTGGTCAGATCCCTTTCCAAACACCCACACGATCGCAGCTCCACGCTGCAGGACAGCTCTGCAGAGCCCAACGTGCACCTTCGCTCCCCTCCTGCCAGGCCCCTGCTTTCGGCCTTGCCCAAACCGCTTCAGAATTCCCCTCTCCAACGTGAAGCGAGCCAAGGGCACATTCCTCTCGCCTCCAACCCCTCCTTCCACGTCCCCTCGAGTGCGAGCTTTGAATCAGCCCAGTGTCAAACCCATAACTCCCAAATTCACGCCGTACGAGCAGAAATCAGTCATCCCCACCTGGAATGCACCGGTCACTGTGCCAGGCAGCGCTGCTCACGGTTCAGCTGGGGGAACAGCTTTCACCACAGTTATAACCACCCAGACCTCACAGAAAGCAAATACGAGTTTGTCTGCAAAACAGACGTGAACTTGCCATGTAAAGAAACCCTACGGCCCTAAAATAAACGCAGTCTGGGTCAGAAGGCAGCGGCTGACAAACCTTCACACACAAATCGAGGGAGAAAAGAACCAGGAAGAAAACATTAACTAACCACAAACCTATCTGTATGCAAGTCCAACTGAACAGGAGTGAGAGATCAGACACATTTAAGGCCTGATCCAGAGCCCAGAGTCCTCTGGACTCGTTGTCTGGACGCTTGCTGGACCAGGACACAGACACCACCGTGGAAAGGGCCGTACCTGCCCAGGCTCTGCTCCGCTCTCCTCCCCTGCTGCTCCGTCACCACCAGCACAGCCTGCAGAGAAGGGCACAAACGCAGCGCACAGGCCACGTCCCGACTGCAGGAGCGTGGCAGCACCAAGGGGACACAGCATCCCCAGCACCGGGCAGAGCTCAACAGCAGCACCGCAGCCAGCACGGCAAAGGCTTTGAGGGGCTCTCAGCAGCCACACGCTCAACATGTCCCTGCGAGAAGTCAGATAACAGAGAGGGAAATGTCTTTCATTTCACGAGCTCAGCGCAGCAGAACCCACCTCAAAAGCAAGCGCCGGCGCTGGAGCAGTTTCCATTATTTGGCAGCAGCACTAAACCAACAAAGCGAGGGGCTTTATACAGGATGCGGTCCAGGAATCAGAGCTCGAATGATGTATTTCCTTACAGAGCTACGGTTCATTTTCATACCTTACATTTGTTCAGTCTTGCTCTTTTAAGCTCCACACGCCTTCCTCCTCCTGCGGCACCATCCATCACACTTCACCACGGCTGGCATTTCCGCTGCTGGCACCATTACGCGCTCTGAAGCCGTAGCGCGGCTCCTCGCGCGCCCCGTGCCGAGGACGGCCTCAAGTTGTGCAACGGAGGAGTCGGCGACTGAGGCCCCTGCTGAGCGTTTCTGCAGCTGCTGGGGTTGCCTCTCCTCCTCCGCCGGCCTTGCGGCGTTTGAAAGCTCACTCAGAATCACAGAATCACAGAATGGCTCGGATGGAAAAGCCCTCTGAGATCATCACGTCCAACCACTCCTGTCTACCCCCTAAACCATATCCCTAAGTACCTCGTCTACCCGCTCTTTAAACACATCCAGGGATGGTGACTCCACCACCTCCCTGGGCAGCCTGTTCCAGCTTCTGACGACCCTCTCAGTAAAGAACTTCCTCCTTATCTCTGACCTGAACCTCCCTTGGCACAGCTTGGTGCCGTTTCCCCTTGTTCTATCCCCCATCACCTGGGAGAAGAGCCCAGCACCCACCTCTCTCCAAGCTCCCTTGAGGCAGTTGTAGGTGGTGATGAGGTCTCCCCTCAGCCTTCTCTTCTCCAGGCTAAACAAGCCCAGCTCCCTCAGCCGCTCCTCATAAGGCCCTGGCTGCCATGGTACAAGGGCAGCGAAACCCAGCTTCATTTCGAAGACACCCATCTGACAACAAACACTGGTGTTCATAACAAAACCCAACACTTGGGTCACAAAACCCAGCTACAGTCACCTCCCTGCAAGCATCTTAATGCTCCTGATTCCTAAGCAAAAAGAGTAGTTACACCCTGGTTCGCTTCAGTAAAATGCATTAAAACATTCTGTGTTAATACTGCGTGATTTTTATCTGCTTTTGTTTTCCAGCATGACTTCATTTGCAGCACCACTGCAGTTGTGAATGCCTACAGGGTGCAGAAGTTATGGACACACCACGACCCGAGCACTCCTGTGTGGGAGGAAGGGGCAGCCGCAGCCACAGCACCAAAAACCTACGCAGTGGCAGCAACACAGCGATAAATTGGATATTAACCCGCGGAACTAAATCCCATTTCGAGAAAACATCCAGTGCTGGGCAGCCCAGAAAACCTCAGGTGAGGCTGCGCTTCATCCCTTATCAAAGAGGGTTTGCAAATTCACAGGGCCACGGCTTTAACACCTTGTTAAAGGTGCCCTGAAGCCATGAATATGAAACACCACCACCATCTGAAACCCCCCCGGCTCTCAGCAGGATTCCAACTCAACTTTTCAGATGCAGTCAGCCATGAGAAAAATTCCCCTCAACTGGAGCTTAAACACAGCACGTCCTTTACATTTTTATATATGCACACACACACAGATTCTTATGTACTCACCCCCCACATACACTGTGTACACACACACACTGTACACACCATGGCATGTTCCTCGTATCACCTTTTCCAGACACAGACGGCATTTGGAGCGCATGGGGAAGAACTGATTGCAAATCCCAATGAAAATTCTGACCGCACATTCTCCTCGCTAGTTTTTTCCCCTTCTTCCTATTACATTAAAATGCTCCCCACACTTTCTCCACGTTTCCTGCTGTCTGCAGTTATTTCAGATGCCCACAACACTTCCACGGTTTGCCATTTCCCAGCACTGCTTTCCCTTGGCTCTTCCGGTGCTGTCTCTTCAGTTGACTTCGTTTCGGCGTCACCTGGAGCACCCCATGGACACGTTCTCCCTGCTGCACTTCATCTTTACACAGACCGACCCCTGGATTTGCTCTCCTCGCCTGCCAGCTTTGATGGAGCACAGCAATCCTGCCCCTGGCAGCTCTGCAGCTCAGGTGCTGATGGACAAAACCTCTCCCCAGCTGACTCCAATTGTAACAGGGGCAGCAACGGCCAAAACCCAGACCACAGAACTCCCAGCACGTGAGGTATGAGGACACCTCATCTGGTCCTTATAGAAACTGCAGCTCTTGCTTCTGTGCCTGCCTGGACAGGATTTCATCTCCTCACACAGCCCCTCAGTTCAAGAAGGACAGGAACTGCTGGAGAGAGTCCAGCGTAGGGCTACAAAGATGATGGAGGGAGTGGAGCATCTCCCTTCTGAGGAGCGGCTGAGGGAGCTGGGGCTCTTTAGTTTGCAGAAGAGGAGACTGAGGGGAGACCTCATTCATGGTTATCAATATTTAAAGGGTGAGTGTCACGAGGATGGAGCCAGGCTCTTCTCGGTGACAAACAATGATAGGACAAGGGGTAACGGGGACAAGCTGGAACACAGGAGGTTCCACTTCAATTGGAGAAGAAACTTCTTCTCAGTGAGGGTGACAGAGCCCTGGCCCAGGCTGCCCAGAGAGGTTGTGGAGTCTCCTTCTCTGCAGACATTCAAAACCCGCCTGGACGCCTTCCTGTGTAACCTCATCTGGGTGTTCCTGCTCCGGTGGGGGATTGGACTGGATGAGCTTTGGAGGTCCCTTCCAATCCCTGACGTTCTGGGATTCCGTGATTCACACCCGTTCTGCGAGTCCAGGCCACAGAAGATCACCCAGCGCAGCAGCACCAAGCCACCACTGACTGAGATGAAACACCAGCTAAAAGGAAATCCAGTGTTCAGATGCTGAACGACAGAAGTCACCGTTCCTTTCAGGAAGTTAAACCAGGGAACATTTACCTTTAAAATACATGTCTTGCAGAAGGGAACACTTACCCTTAAAGCACACGTCTGGTGTAGGGTGCTCAGCATCAGCCCTGGCTCAGCTCATTTCACTCTGCAGCCGACTGCCAGAATTAAAGGAATTTTACCTTTTTCCACCTTTAGACCACAAAAACAGCTGACCACAATCTCCCCCAGCCCCAAGCAGTCCCTGTTATTACACTCCACTTCTTTGCTGTCACCACCCACAGGCTCTGCGCCGCTTTTTCTCCCTCCAAACCGCGGGTGCTCCTCAGCCCTGCCCTGATCAGCCCTGCAGTGCAACCCACCGCCCAGGCCCACCTTTCCCAGCAGACCATCCCGAATTAAACGGCTTTTTCTGCACCTGATGACAAGGGCTCTGTGTCGCAGGGTTCTGACACTGCAAATTATTGTGAGCCTTAGCCCAGCAGACAGAAATACGCTGAGTTTATGGGTGTGTGTGGAGAATGCGCTGTGTTTCATGAGGGGCAGCGCTAATAGGATCAGTAAACAACTGCAGCTCATTAGACCGCAAAAGCTGCTTTTCAGAAGATGTAGATTAGCGACTTTCCTTGCTATCACAGTGAAAGACTTTGCTTTGTGAGTCAATAAAAGACAAGAATTATCCGGAGTGATTTCCAAAGCAGACGTTTCCATACCTTAAAGTAAAGCCCAGAGTGGTATTGCTAATGAGAAACCCAGCCAGCAGCCTTGGCCAGATGGGGATGGTGAAGTAAACAACCCTCGTATCCAAAAATGCCATCTCATCTGAGAGTCAGGAAACTTCCTTCACGAGAGGAAAACAACCTCACGGTGCCAAGGATTCTGGAAAAGCCATCTCGAGAGAGCAAAGCACGCAACGAGGAGATACGCAACGCTGGATTGTTTTAAGTTATTTTCTTACTTCAGACTGCGCCTGAGTAAATGTTTTGGTTTTTTAATACGCTCCTAATTGCTACAAGAATTTCAGATCCTTCTATTAAAATGCTTATTAGCACTACAAAGGAAAACCCAGGCTTATCCACCCCGTTACTGCAGAACATCAAAGACCCGCAGCCGATGAGCAGATACGCTGCCGTATCTGCACCCAGCATCTCCCGCTGCCGAGCCTCTACAACCGCACAACAATGGGGAGCTCTGATCAGGCGAGACGGAGACGCAGCAGCAGGACGAGCTGTGACAGGAGGGCGAGCGGTGCCAGCTGCGCCCTGGTGTTCCCCACCACAGAGCGGCATTTCCTGCAGCCCTTCAGGCCACCCTGGTCTGGCAGCGACAGGGATGCCGGCCCGAACAGGTATTTAACATCATTCTCCAGCTCCCAGCGCAGTAAAGAATGTGTTTACATGTAACGGTGGGCAAGTGAGCAGCGTTATTCCTATTAACAAAGCGGCTCAGCCAGGGAACAGCTTCGTTTTCAGGCTTGCATTTCTGCCCCTGCTGGAGTTACAGTTTTCAAGTACCATCCCTTACCAAAAGGATACTTCCCAAAACAGAAAACATCGTAACTGCCATGTCATTTCAGCTAGTGCATTAGGAATTTTAATGTTGTCATTGTGAATGTCTTCACTTCACAGTCTCAAACTGACTCAGATTTATGGATTGTTCCGGGCTCTTTAAAATCCTGATGTGCAGTGTTTGGTACCTACTGCTTGCCTCTTTAAAAAGAACTACACAGCAACACATCTACCGTTTATGCCCTTCTAAGTATGCACACACACACACGCTTCTACCAGACAGGTGTCCTCCTTCCAGCGAGGAAAAGAGCCCTGACCCAAGACTTGCAGTGGTATTCAGCAAATAAATCAGGGGCCAAGCAGCACTCGGTTTTATGGCTTTTCATACCCACGCCTGAAAGCGCCTTTTAACGGCTCAGTCACAAGACAGACGCTATGCCTGAAGAAATCCAAGCTAAACAAGCTAAGCGATTTATTAACTATCCCCCCCGATTCCCAGCGCAGCACCAGCACTTGTTTGGCTGATCTGGAAAAAACATCGCTCTGGAAGAGGTTCGCGTCCAGAGTCACAGGGCATTGAGCAACTCCAGTATAAACACTCCTGACAAAGACAACATTCACAGGCGATCCACCCCAGCAGCGCTGCCAGAGCCGCGTCCGTCAGAGCGCTGGGTCGGTCACGGTGGCAAACACAGCCTAAACACAGCCCGCGATGGCCGCAGCTCCGGTTCCTTCCAGCAGAGTTTGTCCTCTGCAGCGGCTCCCGTCCCACCCAGCAACAGCTGCTCGCAGGAACCGCAGCCCAGGGCGCAGAGGCAGCCCTCGACGTGCCGCTTAACAGATGGCAGTGACACACAGCCACCACCATTAATTACACCTCCACACGAGTCCCCAGCTGCGGCACTGAGCGAGCTTCCTCCCAGAAAGAGCTTTTCTGATCAACGCCCGACTGCCACAGCACCTGCGCCCTCCAGGACCGGCA